CCCAGGAGCCCCATCCTGTTCCCATTTTCAGCCTAGAGGAGGCTCCCGATCCAGAGTTTAGTCCTGAATGCCCGGAGGCTCACAAATGCCCCCTCTCCCCCCCGCTCCTGCCTCCTCCACCGCTGTCGTCTGGCAGCCCCTCTGCTCGCCCTCAGCCCACCTCCGTCCTCCAGTGTCGCCGTGGTTAGAGAATCCCTCACCTCTGCCTCCAGCCTCCGAGGCCCGGACTCCGCCTCAGCCCATAGACCCAGCGGCTCCACCTCCGCTCATAGCTCCCTCGCCTCCACTGTCACCCGTCGATCCACCAGCTCCACCGGGCTCCCTCGTCCCGCCAGCTCCACCTTGGTCCTCAGTCGCTCCGGCTCCTCTGTGGATCTCCACCTCTGCCTTCGTCTTGGTCGCCAGAGCCCTCGGCTCCTCCCTGGCCCCCAAGGTCCTCGGCATCCCCCTGGCTCGTTGGCTTTCCGTCTCCACCTTGGGCTCCTCCACCACCTGCTCCGCCGCCATTGGTCGACCCCCTGGAGTCGGCGGCCATTCCTCCTCCATGGCTCCTCCCTCCGTCAGCTTCACCGTGGGCCGTCATTATGGCTGTGGCCTGGGTCCAGCTGGACTCCTCCTGCTTCAAGCCCCTCCTTTCTCCTCCCTGGCTCCTCCCTCCATCGTCTCCTCCCTGGACTCTGTCTGCCAGCCCCCTCCCGAGTGTCCGTCCTCCTCCTGAGCCTCCTCCCAAACTCCCACCCATGCCTCCCTCTGTTGTTGTTACGGTGCGAGGACGCACCTTCCGGGAGGGGGCGATATGTCAAACTTTTGGGGAAACCTATTGTAATAAAAAATAAATTAAAGTTGTTCAAATAAATATTTCCAGCCCATAAATTATTATTCAAAAATTTGATTGATTTTCTTAAACAAGTCATATCCTCTCTGATTGAGTGCAATGATTGAATAGCATTACACTGTATACAGAACTGGGAGGTTAATCATAATAAATATAATGCAAGAATAAAAAATATATATTAAAAATAAATTTAAATCAGTCTGATTATTCCTCTGGGAGTAACTTGAGCAGTGTGCTGCTATTCATTAATCTCATGACTAGAAACCACGGCAGCGCTGACAATCACGTCGATCAGATAATGTTACACATTCAAATGAAATTCAGAATGTGAGTGCATGTCTTTGGCAAGAGTACCTCAGCAGCTGTGGCCATGTACGGGCTCAAGAAAGCTGCCCTGGAAGGAGAGAAGGATCATGGTTCGGAGGCAAGACAGTTCATTGAGAGGAACTTGCATGTTGATGATGCCCTGCTATCCCTTCCTACAGAACAAGAAGCCAACACACTCCTCAGAAATGCCCAAACCATGCTAGCTGCGTCAAATCTTCACCTACATAAGAAAGCCTAAAACAAAGTAGAAGTGATGAAATCATTTCCTTAAAACGACTTAGCAAAGAACATGAAGGAATTGGACCTTGCTGCTGACTTTCCATGTGCAGAGAAGTTTAGGAGTTCGCTGGGATGTTTCAAAAGATGTTTTCACGTTTCATGTGTCAAATTATCAGAAACCCTACACAAGACGTGGAGTCTTTTCTACAATTGACAGCCTGTTTGATCCATATGGATTTGCAGCACCTGTAATCATTAAAGTTAGATCTTTGCTCAGAGAACTCACCATGGGGGCATTTGACTGGGATTATCCTCTGCCAGAACAGATGTTCAAAAAATGGAAATCATGGAGAGACTCATTGGAAGAACTGGAAAAAAATTATCATCTCCAGAGCATAGGAGAACACATTTCCAGGAGAAATGTGTTTAATGAATTATTAATTTAACCAACATTTAAATCATTAACTGCTAAAAAATGAATGCGGTTAACAAAATCGTTGTTCAAAAAAAATATGCTGTTACCGTACTGTATGAATAAAAAACAACATAATTACATAAACCATGAACATACAAGGCGAATTAACGCATAAAGGCAAAGCATAAATCTTTATTCAGATTTCATGAGCACTTTGTCATTTGAAATGCCTATGTTGTGGATTTGTCCGTCTGATGTTCATCATGTTTATCTGATATTCGCTACGGTAATGTATAGGACACATAACTTTTTAATACACGGAAATTCCCGACATTAAACAAATAACCATTAACATGCTCAGGAGGTGTGCGTTGTAAGAATGTACGGGGATACTTCAGATATAAAAACACTGACTCCTTAGGTGATGTTTTCTCATTAAAATCATAAAATTTCCTATAGAATGAATGGGAATACTAGGGAATACCAATATGGCTGCGCGGCGGTTTCACTTTTATGACATCATAAGCAATCCAGTTCTCTATTATAGATCAGTGGTTCTGACTGGTGATGCGGTGCGCAATGCAACCCGATCTCATGAAAGTGTGTTTAAATAGTACGCCAAATAAAAACGAAAACTTGTGGTATTGATACGCAAAAATTGATTTTGGTGTGAGGAATACGACAACTGTAGCCAAACTCCTTGACACGCCTGTGTGTGGTGGCTCTTGATGCCTTGACCCCAGCCTCAGTCCATTCCTTGTGAAGTTCACTTAAATTTTTGAATCGATTTTGCTTGACAATCCTCATAAGGCTGCGGTTCTCTCGTTTGGTTGTGCATCTTTTTCTTCCGCACTTTTTCCTTCCACTCAACTTTCTGTTAACATGCTTGGATACAGCACTCTGTGAACAGCATTTTTTTGTATTTCTGAATAATTCTGCGGCATCTTTAACTCTGAGGAACCCTTTCTTATTACATGATCATTGTGGATATCACAGTAGGACACACAGTCCTGGAAGATTGATATTTTCTCATATGGACCACAAGGGTCAATATTCTGAAATTGAGATTTATACATCATCTCAAAGAATAAATACGCTTTCCATATGGTTTGTTAGGATAGGACAATATTTGGCCGAGACACAACTATTTGAAAATCTGGAATCTGAGGGTGCAAAAAAATCTAAATATTGAGAAAATCGCCTTTAAAGTTGTCCAAATGAAGTTCTTAGCAATGCATATTACTAATCAAAAATTACGTTTTGATATATATTTACGGTAGGAAATTTACAAAATATCTTCATGGAACATGATATTTACTTAATATCCTAATGATTTTTGGCATAAAAGAAAAATCGCTAATTTTGAACCATACAATGTATTTTTGGCTATTGCTACAAATATACCTCAGCGACTTAAGACTGGTTTTGTGCTCCAGGGTAACATATTTTATACAAACAGTCTTGAAGTCTCTGCGGTCACAGCTTTAACATGTCAACTCCATCATCCCAGTGTAATAGTTTCTGTAAATAGTTGTGGAATAAATCTTGACATTTTTGTTATGATTATTAATGCAGCTACAACTGAAGAAAAAAATTGCTCCACTGTACCACATGTGGTCAAATATTCAATTTTGTCAACTCCATTGGATGTCAACTCCATCAAGATTGATGTCTGATGGTGGTGAATAGTAAGCTGATGGTGTTGACAAATACTCACAAAACTCTTTATATTGTGATATAATATATTTTTGGAATATGGGGAATTATTCTAATGTTGTTTTATGATTTTATTTACATACATATTTGGCCTGATTTACATGCCTCATGCAGGTCAGGCTCATAAGGCTGCGGTTCTCTCGTTTGGTTGTGCATCTTTTTCTTCCGCACTTTTTCCTTCCACTCAACTTTCTGTTAACATGCTTGGATACAGCACTCTGTGAACAGCATTTTTTTGTATTTCTGAATAATTCTGCGGCATCTTTAACTCTGAGGAACCCTTTCTTATTACATGATCATTGTGGATATCACAGTAGGACACACAGTCCTGGAAGATTGATATTTTCTCATATGGACCACAAGGGTCAATATTCTGAAATTGAGATTTATACATCATCTCAAAGAATAAATACGCTTTCCATATGGTTTGTTAGGATAGGACAATATTTGGCCGAGACACAACTATTTGAAAATCTGGAATCTGAGGGTGCAAAAAAATCTAAATATTGAGAAAATCGCCTTTAAAGTTGTCCAAATGAAGTTCTTAGCAATGCATATTACTAATCAAAAATTACGTTTTGATATATATTTACGGTAGGAAATTTACAAAATATCTTCATGGAACATGATATTTACTTAATATCCTAATGATTTTTGGCATAAAAGAAAAATCGCTAATTTTGAACCATACAATGTATTTTTGGCTATTGCTACAAATATACCTCAGCGACTTAAGACTGGTTTTGTGCTCCAGGGTAACATATTTTATACAAACAGTCTTGAAGTCTCTGCGGTCACAGCTTTAACATGTCAACTCCATCATCCCAGTGTAATAGTTTCTGTAAATAGTTGTGGAATAAATCTTGACATTTTTGTTATGATTATTAATGCAGCTACAACTGAAGAAAAAAATTGCTCCACTGTACCACATGTGGTTAAAGTGGTCAAATATTCAATTTTGTCAACTCCATTGGATGTCAACTCCATCAAGATTGATGTCTGATGGTGTTGAATTGTAAGCTGATGGTGTTGACAAATACTCACAAAACTCTTTATATTGTGATATAATATATTTTTGGAATATGGGGAATTATTCTAATGTTGTTTTATGATTTTATTTACATGCATATTTGGCCTGATTTACATGCCTCATGCAGGTCAGGCACAAATACAATTTCATAACTGATGGGGTTCAAAGACAGGCTACAGAAAATTTGGATTCATATTAGGAACATTTCTGTTGCTGCTACGGGGTGGCATATAATATTGTTACTGGAGCTACTGGAGACACAGATTGAGATATTCACTAGAAGGATTACTGTACTAAAAATCAGTTTAAAAATTAGTTAATTGTCTTAATTTGTTGTGTTGTCAATCAGTTGTTGTAACTTCAGTTGGACCTTTGTCAACTCGTTTTTGTCAACTTTTGACAATTTATTGTTTTAAATTAGTAAAACGTGTATTTGACCACTATTTGACCACTTCCGCTCCTTTACTGAACACCATGATTACATAATTGAAGACTTTACGCTGTTATTGGGTGGATCAAATTAAAAGATCATGCTTTTTAACGCGTCTGACAGAGTTGATACAAATTAAGTTATGAAGTGAAAAAATATTTTTTTTTATAAAAACCCGCTCCCTTACATGGTTCATTAGCTGAGACGTTTCTCTACAAATATATACACTTATAAATGTATCATCAAATAATAAAAACTCGCATTTTAAAACATGTTTTGTCCATTCTCAAGTGTGTGTGTGTGTGTGTGTGTGTGTGTGTGTGTATATATATATATATATTAATTTCTAATGCTAATTTCTAACCTAACTGTTGTGATTTTAACTGTTAAGTAACAACAGGATCTGAAAGAAAGTGATGTAAAATAACAAGCTACTGACAGATTGCATGTTACTGTTGTTCCAGCCTGAGTACCTGTTTACTGATGGATACTGGAAGGGTGAAAACGGTATGCAGAGAAACCCTGCAGGGGTGAGTATCAAATCAAGGAAATGTGCTGACTGCCAAGAATGAACTCGACATCATTCTGCTGACATTTATAGAAAAACTGACTATAAGCTGTGGTTCAACGTCCACAGCACACTTTTTTCACAAATCTGCAAAAGGGTTAAATATAGTTTCTCAATTCCATGCTGTTCAACTCCAACCCTGGGCAGCAGCAGACCTCTATAAAGAATGTTTGAAAATGTATAGTATATTCAATAAATTACACGATAAGCTGATCAATCAAATTAATGACAATGAATCATATATATATATATATATATATATATATATATATATATATATCAACATTTTTAACCCCATGAAACATGTTCTGGTGGACATGTTCAAAACTGTGAGACATTTTCCACCCTTGTTCTTCTAACTATCACAGGGTGGAAATGTAAAGGTTGAATTACTGGTAGATCTGTGATGTTGTGATATTGTACTAGTGTACTTATAAAGATGATAAGATAAAGTGCATCAAAAAGATTTAAAATCAAAAAGAGTGTTGAAACTTGTTGGCTTTTCCTAGTTATTTCACTTAAACTGTGACTGATAATGAAAACAGCAAGCATGAAGGTCCACCCATAAACATAATCATCAGCAGGGCGCAGGCAGATCGTACAAAAATTTACAAATTAGATTTTACAAATTCATACAAATTAGCCACCAATTCCATAAGATTGCATTGTTTTTTTTCTATTCAGAACACTACAACTCTTAAAGGGGTCATATGATGCAATTTCAAGTTTTGCTTTCTCTTTGGAGTGTTACAAGCTGATCGTGCATAGATAAGATCCCTGAAGTTGCAAAGACTAAAGTCTCAAAACCAAAGAGATATTCTTTATCAAAGTTAAGACTCTGCCACGCCCCCCCTAAAACGGCTCGTTCTAACACGCCCCCACATATCTACCTCACTATGTGGAAATATTAGCATAATGCGCCCAAATGTTCACGCAAAGAAAGGCGGCGTGGTTTCAGTAACCGCAGTTAGTGTTGAAGCAGCATGTCAGGGAGACGCTGTGTGTTTCTAGGCGAAAGCAAAAGCACTTTATTTGGCCTTCCGGAAGTAGATGCATTTAGGAATCTTTAAGATTACTTACAACAGAACAGCAATGCATTTTATGGACGACCGTTTCGTGAAGAAGAGAGAGAGAGCGCAAGAGAGCAAGAGCATGTGTTTTTTGAACATTAAAGCATGTCAACATATTCTGTTACACCAAATACACAACATAATGATCTTTAAAAAAGCATCATATGACCCCTTTAATTCAAATAAATATATATATAAAATCGTGGTCATACGTCACATTGTTATTTGGTGATGTGGAATATTGTCTGATTTATGCTTTCTCTTACAGTATGGCATTCAGTACAGCTTCCAGGAAATGTCCAGTGGTGGAGGAGTGATGAACATGGTGAGTGACGGCATCCATCAAACAGAGACAAACGGCTGTAACACCTGAGGGAGACTGGGAGGGGAAGAGCTGTAAAAAACAACATTTTTTTTTTTTGCCTAAGGTGTTTCTTGAAATGTGTTCCTGCTTCAGAGCAGTATTTGAAATGTGCTTACATACACAGTAGAGTCGGCTTCACATGTCTGAGACCACACAGTGATCTGGAAATCAACAGAGTTTAGGTGTAAAGTGAAGAAGTTATTATCATTCTGCACTATTTCTATTGTTAATCAAATGTAAATACATGGTAGCTTTACTTGCTTACATTTATTGAACATACTGTACATTTATCTGGACTGGTTTACAGTCCACTGCATCGAGTTTGTCAGTGTGTCTGAGGTTGGTTTGGGAGCCATTCACTCAGAACATGTTCTTATTCTATGTGCAATACTTCTTAACTGCTGGTTTTTAAGAGGATTTTTAGTTGTAGAACATGTCTAGAGGCCACATTGTTTGTCTCTAAATGCAAGCTTGTTTGAACTGCTCGCATAGTCTGTGTTGTCTCTCAGTAAGCGTGCTTTGGCAAAACCTTGCAAAAATATGAAGCTGGTACTTCAAGTTAAGAAATATGATACTAAAAAAATATGATACAGAAAATATCATTAGCTCAGTTTAAAACAATAGAAGTCCCCACAAAGATAATACAAAACAAATGAGTGTGTTATACACTACTGTTCAAAAGTTTGGAGTCAGGTTTTTTGTTTTTGAAAGAAGTCTCTTATGTTCCTCAAGGCTGCTTTTATTTGATTAAAAATACAGTTTATAAAAGATAATAATTTATTCCTGTGATCAAAGCCGAATTTACAGCATCATTACTCCAGTCTTCAGTGTCACATGGTCCTCATGTCACTTGATAATCATTCTAATATGTGACAGTCGCTGGGGTATATTTGCAGCAATAGCCAACAATACATTGTATGGGTCAAAATTAATGATTTTTGTTTTAAGCCAAAAATCATTAGGATATTAAGTAAAGATCATGTTCCATGAAGATATTTTGTAAATTTCCTACTGTAAATATATCAAAACGTCATTTTTGTTTAGTAATATGCATTGCTAAGAACTTCATTTGGACAAATTTAAAGGCGATTTTCTCAATATTTAGATTTTTTTGCACCCTCAGATTCCAGATTTTCAAATAGTTGTATCTCGGCCAAATATTGTCCTAACAAACCATACGTCTATCTAAAGCTCATTTGTTCAGCTTTCGGATGATGTATAATTCTCAATTTTGAAAAATCGATCCTTATGACTGGTTTTGTGGTCCAGGGTCACATATGATCACATAAAAATAATGTACTGATACATTTTTATTATTGTTGTTACTTTAATTGAAGGCATCCTTGCTGAATAAAAGTATTAATTTTTTTTTTTTAAAGAAATTGTACTGACCCAAAAATTTGGAATAGCCTAGTAGTGTATATACAGTAAAATTGTTATATATGATTATGATGGATATTTAATAATGTGGTTGCGCCCCCCCCCCTCCCTCTTTTTCTAAAGCCACATCACAACATGTCAATGGTTCGAAGGGAAAGGGAAAGCTTTAGGGTAAGCTCTTCAAATAATTCATATAAATAAAAGAAAAAAGATGGATTTTAAGAAAGGATCCTCAAACACTAATCAACTATAAACGTACTGAAACGTTTTAGAACATTTTCATTGTAGAAATATCTAAAAGTGTTAAATACATAAATAACAACTGAAATTAAATAAATCATGTAAATTAAATATCACACTTGTTTTTAAGAATGAAAGCCGCCAGATGTCCCGCACACACAGCATGGCTCGAACAGAAAGGAACCTGGCAGAACACATTGACAGGGTGAGTCAATACACAAAACACCTGACTGGCATGATTTTAAAGAAACCCGGAGTAAATATATATATATATATATGAGAGAGAGAGAGAGAGAGAGAGAGATAAAATATAACAGAGATATATTACAATTATATATA